CCGCCTCCCCCGCCGCCTGCCCGATCCACTTCCTCTTCGTGTACAGCTCTGACACCGCCTGTTTTTTGACGTTCGATTCCGACGGAAACAGCAAGTAGGACGTGTTGGTTCCGCTTGCATTTGTTGTCGTTCTTGTCGTGGGCGGAAGCAAGGTTAAATTTTCATGGTTTTATACCCCCAACAACATGCGGTGGAGGAAATGCTATTATAGGACTAAAGTAGAAACAAAACCGTCTCACGTACACGCAGCATCCAAAAGAAACAAGGAACAGTGCTCAGGCATATCGGACGTGTCTCCTGCACAAAGAAAATGGCTAGTGGTCCACGGTCAAGCGACTAGGAACGGAGGTAAGGAACATAATGGATGAGTCCGCCACCCGCTGTCCCGTCGAGTAAGGCGTGCTTCTTGACGAAAACACTCCTCGTTTCTCCTCGAAACTCTCCACCAGTTGTCAAAAAACAGGTACATAGGGTTTGAAGAAGACCAGGCAAGTCAACTGGCAGCAAGTTGTCGCTACCCTCATCATGCGACAAGGTATTTCTTGCAATGGATCGCACACATAGGCAGAGTTGGGCAGACGGTACACCTCGGGGTATCTCTGGACCCCTCCTACCGGGGTACTTCTGTGAAAACAGCCAACCAGGGCCCGCTACTTTTCTTGAAACTGTCGTCCTCACTAAAATACACTACGCGAAACGCTGCAAACACCACTGCGACTCACCGACCACAACAACGACTTCAACACACACTCGCCCTTCTGGGACTGGGACTGTTGCTATCCATTTGCTACAAAACACAACGTTGGTTGCTTGTTTTCTTGGCTGCTATTGTACCGCCGTTCCTTCCACCGCACCTTCAGCGCCCCCTCCGCGCTCTCCGGTTCCGATCTGAGACGCCCCGACATGGCCAGAGCGGAAACCCCCAGGAGGCGTCCTAGGGCCAGCTCTCGCTCGTCGGCTCCCTTCATCGCCGCCGTGGTCTGGGTGGTCTTCAAAATTTGTTCCAGCACGGCCGGTGTTGTTGGCTGACAGCAAGCACGTGCGCGAGGCGGCTTGTGTGAGTATGGAGGCGTGGTGGGAAGGGGTCAGGGGCTATGCTCGCCGTGGAGTTGTGACGATTGGATGGGTACTATCCTCTACTACATACAGAATACAGTGTGTGCATAGGAGTCTGCGTCCTTGTCGCGGGTTTGGTTGTTGCCACCGACTGCGCTCGAAGAGGACGCACGAGGAACCGCCGACAGAACCGTGAATTCTCTCCTGCTATCTAGCTCTGTAACGGAGGGAACTAACTCGTGTCAGCTGGTCATCGTTGCGGCACAAAGCACGGCACCAAAACACACGGTTCTACAAGCACATTCATACGCATCCATCTGCTCGACGTGCAAAATTGATCGAGGTACTGCTGTATCTCCTTGTGCAGGAAACCAATTTCATGACCCCGCTCTGTGTACTCTCGGGTCACCGTGTAATCCGACATACGTACACCTACAACAAGCAAGAGTCCGAATAAACAAAGTTACATACTTGAAGCACGTTACCCGCGATGGCCAAAAGTACATGCCAAAGGTAATCGTAAGACTATCTTCGCTTGCTCACCGCGTCCTTGGGTAGCACGGCCAGCACTTGCGCAAGGCACGAGGCGAAGCCCTGCCTCGCGCACTCGCGGCTGGAGCACATGCCTCGCACCAGCCGCTTGACCGCGTATTCTGCGTCGCCCCCTTCGGGATTGGACACGTGCCTCACGATCATAGCTGCCGCGCCAACCCTGCCGTGGAATGGAGGCGGTCACAAACGAAAAAGGGGGGGCGGGGGACAACAGCTTTGTGGAGTTGCAGAGCGTTGGAGTAGCTTGTAGCACTGGGATGTAGGGCTGAATCGTAGGAAAAATGGCGGCGGCAAACCGGTGGCAAACCAATTTTGGCTCCCTGCTACTGATGTTGGTGGTCATGATGCTGTCGATGCCTTGTCTCTTGCGCAATCCTCCCCGTCTCAGCAGCCCAGCCAATTTCAAATGAAGTAGAAAAGTAAATAACGAACACGTTTTTTTCGTGTTGTATTCAAAATCAAGTTACAATCCTTGCTGCATACCAACTCTACAACAGCAAGCGAGGGCGGGGGCGGTGCTGGCCGGTGGCGTGGTGAAGAAATCGCGCAAATCGCGCTCGCTGCTGACGGGGGTGCGCGATAACTTGCCCTACGGCCTAGGGCACCTACTGCGCGGCCTGTGACGTTCTACACCAAACACCTGAGTTGTCTGTCTGTCTGTGTTGTGTGTGTGCCCTGTCTGCACGTCTGCACGCCCTTTGGTTGGTGGGTGTCAGGTGTGGGTTGTGGTTGTGTTGGTGTGTTGGTGTGCTGGGTGCTGGGGTGTCTCAAAATTCCTCGCGGGACTGTAAACTTGGCGGGACTGTTAGGTCTCAATCGGTGGGTTGACATTAGAGCAGACGAGTGGCGCAGGACTCGTGTAAAGACCACTGAGCCTAGCGCCGTCTACCCTAACCTTGAATAGCTCGCCGCAGTGGTAAGGACAACACTAGGAACCTCTGTCACGGTGCGTTAATTACCTAGTTCCTAGGGTGGGCATCCCGAGTGAACTGCTGCTCTCGCCGGCAGCACTGGTCCACATACTCATCAGCAAACATGCGATTTTCAAGATACGACAGCGAGACAAAACCACCATGGCATCAAGCCCCACAGCATTACCTGACTGGCACGTCCACGCTAGCCAGATCCCAGAATCCCTGCATGAACTTGCTGAACTCTGGATTAGCGGCCTTCTCCTCGCCCTCTTCATCAGAGCCCTGCATCTCTTCCTGGCCATCACTCTCCCTCTCCGCCTCTCCTGTGGAGCCCTCGCCCTCGCTGCTGCTCGTGCTGCCGCTATCCTCCATAGCCTCCATGCTTTCGACCTCCATCTCTTCGGCAGTCATGTCTTCCGAACCAGCGTGGCTGCAGCACCACGAGATGCCCAGAAACGAGCAAGTAGCCTACCGCGCTGCGTGTGCGAATCTCTGCCTTTGGCTCGCCGAGCCGCCGAGCGGGGGGTAGGTAGTTGAGGGGGGCTCCATGGACAAAGTTTGCGCGAAAGGATAAGGTACTCCAAAATATTTGTCCGCGTCTCCCCAACCCCAAGCACGGCACGTTGCGGTTGGCGCATCGATGTATCGTTGTCCTGCACACTGCTGCTGTGTCCCGTATCGCACCTTGCTCTTGTTGAAAGGACGGGAAGTTCGTTGCAACGATATTTCGTTCAATGAGACACTGTGTGATAAATTGAAAACAGGATTTATATTGTGATCGCATTGCAGTATGTCCGACCCTACGGGAGGAGATGATGCCGCAGAGGACCAGCAGCAAGGGCGCTGGCTTGGTGCCGTGAGGTCGTGGATTGGAGGGGCAGAGGAGGGAGCTCCGGCGGAAGACGGCGCACCCGCGCCTGCCAGCTCACCGGCGTTAAGTGCAGATGAGATTCGCAGGCGAAGGCTGGAAAGAATGGGAGGGTCCAACACGGATCAGGTTGGAGCTACAGCAGTAGAGAGTTGCCGCATGTGTCCTGGAAACGCTTTCTCTAGAACACGGCAGGCTGCGGGCCTTTTGGCGGTGTAGCATAGCACGAGGAGTGGGAGAGGGAGAGGTTGAGTCAATCGCTGCTCTCGCCCAAATGCAGATTGTAGAGACCCCTTTTTTGTTCCCTCGAGCGTTTGCATCACTGGAGGCCCTGCAGCAAGGCTCAGAACACTATGCGAAGTAAATACCAAAGACGTCTAGTACGGAGATACCTGCCGTCGGGTCGGGCTCGGATGAGGGTGACACATGGCACACATGACACGACACATGCAAGTGCCGTGTGCAAGACATGACACACTCTTCGTCGTGCAGAGCACTCAATCGTGCGCGCAACCGCTTAGATGCACCAGCACAGTAGTTACCGTATATGACACAAGATAACACACCCCCTGGACCGATTTTCAAAGCTCGATTACTCCACGACGAAGAGGATGAATAAATGAAACAATACGTTTTCGAACAGCTCTCGACGAGACGGTTCCAACGCCGCCGTTTTCGGCGCTGTGACTCTTCCTGCTGTTGAGAAATCGAGCTTTGAAAATCGGCCAAGGGGGTGTGTTATCTTGTGTCATATACGGTAAGCAGTTAGAGATCGCGTACGTATACATAAGTGTCTCGGACCGATCAGGATCCGATTCATGGTGTGCATTATATCTAGAGGCCGGCCCTGTACTTCCATGCTACGGCTGTGCCGTCTCATGGGAATAACGGCTGCTGTGCCTCCCAAGACTTAGTAAGGATTCGTGAGGGGAAGACGAGGCAGCAGCTCGCAAGGAAAAATCGAAAAAAGTAGAGAAAATCAAGAAGGACGCAAGATACTTGCATGTTGGGACTGGGCACGGACACGTGGTTTGTTGGTGAATATGCAAGAACGGGACAAACAGGAACGAAAAATAGGTGATTCCTCTACAGCAGTAGGTAGATTATATGCATGCATCAAGCCGAGTGCAGGCTGCCACATTTGTACATGCCAACGAAGCAGGGCTTACGGGTACTTAATCTGAGCCCGAGTCAACTCCATCTACATTGCACGATAAGCCCTGACTTTAACACTTGCACACTCGGCACCGTCATCTCGTACTATTGTCTTGCAGCGCCAACTACGAAAGCAGTCGTCGTCGCCACCGCCGCCTGGGGCGAAGGATAGCAAACCCACCGCCACCCCGCCCGCAGCAGCCGCCGCCTCCAACGTAAAGAAAGCCGCCGCCCCAGTCTCTACCAAACCTGGAGCAACTGCTGGTAAGGAACCCACCAGTAGCGCGGCAACAACAGCGGCAGCAGCAGCAGCACCGGTGGTCGCCTCGACTCCGGGAGCGACCGGGGGCTTAAAGGAAGGCAGTGGGTTGAAGGCGGGCGGCAGCGGCGCAAGTGGTGGCGGCACCGCCGTTGCTCCTTCTGCTCCTGGAGTCGTTGTTGGCGGCAAGGGAAAGATGTCCCCGGAGCAACGCCTACACAACTCGCTGCGGGCGGTTTTGAGGGTGAGAGAACGGGACCGAATGTTGTTGTAATAGGCACGATGATACGCAAGTATGACAAGTACGTTACACACATGTAAGGGTGGTCAGGCAGGGGGGGGGAGCTTTTTTTTTTTTCTCTATTTCGCTCCGCTCGAATTTAAGTTGTGTTTGTGCACGATAGGGCTTCTTCCGGCGACCCGTTCGCGCAATCGTTTCACGAGGAGGCGAAGCACCGTGGTTGTTGTTCACGTAGATGGTAGGCCTTGCTTGAGTTGCGGAGATGGCGCCCTCTCCGACCCAGTGTAATCCTCGTGCGGTTCTGTTCTGGTCTATCTGTCGTTCACAGCGTTTGTTTTTCGTGTTGCTGTCTGAAATGAATAGCGTAGCCTTGTCCCCGTTGCAGTGGTTTTGGGCGTGTTGCCAACGCTCATCCAAATTACGTACTGTCCGACGATATGCCCTGCTGCGAGTACACTACCGCATACCTCTCTATCCCTGTGCCTCTGTCTCTACCCATCCTAACGCCTCCCCCTCTCTTGCCTTCTGGGGTTCCTTCGCGCGATCTTGCCAAAGGTAACTCTTTCCCAGGCGGAAGGAGAGACGCTGCCTTCAGGGTTCGTTTATGTGGGTGAGGCAGTGGATGGCGACGCCCTGCTCGCGGAGGACATATTGCCGGAGGTCGTTTGCGCGAGGCTTGGCGCGCCAGACCCCCAAGACCGAGGCATAGGTAAATAGCGCATCTACAGCAGTACGTTTGTTGTTCTATTGTAGTAGAGGCTGACCACGTACTGGAGCTCCTACACAGCAGAAATTCTTTGAGTGTGAGGGCTGGTTTAAAGTGACGAACAAACAAAAATAAAAGTTTTGATGAATTCAAGGGGAGGAGCGATGTGTCCAATCGGGGGTACTACTGCTGCTGTTTGTGCCTGGTGTTAACGACGTTTCCGTTGTGAAGCCGAAAATGGTTTTGTCGCATATGGAGATCGACTTTTTGTTGCTGCCGTATCCAACAGGGCACTGTTTCCTCTATAACAACCCCACTGTACCCTAGCAAGGGTTATGGTCGCGTAAAAACACAAAGCCGATCTCCTTCGTGTTGTCTCCACACGCCACGCGTACCCTACTGCAGGGTTCCTGGCGGGAGCCTTTTCCCGATGTCAAGACGAGCTGCAGTCCGTACGCCGTAGGGCCGGCAAATCGGACGTTGCCCTTGCACTCAAGGGACTCGAGGCTGCCAGAACACAGCTGATCAACTTCAGCGCGACGTGTCTCATGGAGGTGAAGTGCAGTGTGGACTT